TGTCCTGAGACAAAATGTCCTACACCTATGCACTCCTTGTGGAATATAGTTAAAAGGTAAACCATTATTGGGATTGTATGCCCTTTCTTCCATTTTTCTACAGTCACTAATGATTGGTTGTAGTATTTTTGGCTACAGGTAATTTAGTGTTGATTTATCATTAAAGAATATGATACGCTACGATTTAATGGAACGTATATTGCCTAAAGAGCCTCTCGCTCAAAACTAGTAATGTTAAAACTTTTCCGTTTCTTCGTGATAGCGTTTATGTGAGAAATTGACATATTACAGCGCCGCTTATGTAAATCAAGAACAAAAGCATGTCATAAATCTTACAATCTGCCCATCTATTAACATTTTTCCCTTGCATCTGCTTTTATGTCAGTAGGAAGAGCGTATATCTAGGTTATTTCCTCCTCTAGCTCATGAGATGAGAAGAGGTTGTAAAATTATAGCGGTAATGTTTTGATCTGTAACTTACGAAATATAGAGTTTTTGATTTATTTAAATGATGCAAATTTGTTGTTAGCTTAGAAAGGAGAAACACAGGTCTAACTATCAGGTTTTTCATCTTCTAGTTTAATCGCGCGCACTCTTAGAATACGAAGGTTGGAATGAGTATGGTAAATAATTGTTTATCTTTTGATTTATCGATAAAGGTGCACTTATAACTTTTTTCCTGGATTATGTTGCCTTCAGTCGGCACAACTTTGAATTTTAAGAGAACGTTTTGCTGGGAAGCAGAAAAATAAACATTTTATCAAATTCTGTTAGTCGGAAAAACCTGATTTTTATACGAAATTGCAGGGAAGGATGGTTACGGCCTTTACGAGGAGTAAATGCTATAGCAGCAGGCTCTATGCCTGCACATGCTCTATACTTTACAGTCTATGAAAAGACGAAGGTTCGTCTTTGTATACATTTTAGAAGATTTGAAAGTCCTACAACGTGTTTAAGGGATTCCTTACTGGGAATACCGCGGGTCATTCGAATACACTAGCATACGGTGCCGCTGGAGCTGTTGCGACACTTATTCACGATGCCGTAATGAATCCCGCTG